TCTTGCTTAAACCAGACTTGCTTGCATGTTCCTTACTTTATCCATAATGCTTCTGTTCATGCGTTCCGGAACACCATTTTGATGTGGTGTGTAAGCACATGTCATGTGTCTCAACCCTTCTTTCTTACAGAAACCATCAAACTCTTGATTACAAAACTCTAAACCATTGTCAGTTCTCAGTTTCTTCACTTTCCTGCTTATCTGATTCTCCACCATTGTTTTTCATTCAACAAATGTCTTGAAAGTTTTATCTTTCTTCTTTAGAAAGTAGATCCAGACTTTTCTTGTAAAGTCATCAATAAACGTGATGAAGTATTGACAATTTCCCATAGAGTTTGGCACAGATGGCGCTCCCAAAAGGTTAGAGTGAATGTACTCAAGCTTCTCTCTAGTGACATGCTTTCCAGATCCAAAACTCACTCTATGTGTTTTACCATAAACACAATCCTCACAGAATTCAAAACCTTTCACTTTATCAGCGCGAAGATAACCTTTCTTGACCAGAATCTGATGTGGACATCAATACCAGACAAAACCCCTTAGGCATTGGAGAGCATTCAGATGCTAACTTAGAGCTGAGCAAGCTTGGAGATAAGGAGAAAAGGAGATATGTAGCTGTTTTCAAGGGAGTTGATGGCTTAACACAAAAATTCCACCGTTTTATACACCAAGGAGAGCCTTATGACCGAGCCAAGGATTTACTGCTTCAGTTTAATCTGCAAGAGAACCAAGACAAATCATCAAAACCGCTTGTACACATAAATGGAGCAACAAGTGTATATTTGGAGCCAGTTATAGAAAGCTCAGATATATATGAAGCTAGCATTTTATTCAACCGTCCTTTGATGTTTACTGAAGCTATGAAGACCTCTAAACCACCCTTGGTTCAATTCAAGTCACCACTTACCCAAGAAGAACTGCCAAATCCTTTCAAGATAGCATATGGACCAACATTTACATTCACCAAGCCATATATCGAAACAATGGTTATATCCATCAAGACAACTTATACACGCCTTCCCTGAAGTCTACTGAAGCTACCATACGTCAACCACCAGAAGAAGTCAGCAACCGAGTTAAAACATTCTAAATCAAAGAGGAAGCAACAAAGAGAAGACTTTCCTTTCATGGATATGACCACCTTATCTCACTAATCTAGACCCTACATTCACTAGAGGAGATCCTGACCATTCAAACCATTCTGAAGACTCAAGGTTCATTCCCCCTCTTCAAACCCTCAAATCAAGTCATTATTTTGGATCCTTATGCTTCCAATCCCTTTGACCTCAGAATATGTTAAAATTTCCATCTTCACTCTTCCAGCCTTGGACTCATCTAGATAAAAAAAATCAGTCCCGTTCTTGGTGTCATATGAAATGAGCACCCTGTGTCCATTATCCAGTCATATTCACTCCCATCAGTCACTGCGTTTGACTCTTCTTCAACGTCCATAACCGCAGAATCATCAACTTGTTCTATGATATTTACAGTTTCACCCTATTTAGATGCATTTCCTTTCTTATTACTTTCTTTTCAGACATAACAATGCTTCTCGTACTGTCCTTCCTTGCCACAAACCCATCAAACTTTCTTGTCTTTCGACTCTATTGACTTTGATCTACTGTGGTTCTTGTTTCTATCTGAACTCTTGTCACGCTTCTCAGATCTCCCTATGTCTTGAGCATACAAATCGTCAGAGCTGTTCTTGAGAAACTTTCCACTTGCTCCGAGCTGTAGTATCTTGTACCTAATAGCTCTTGTGATTTCATCAAGAGCTAGAGTAGTCTTACAGTATGTCAACGTCTCCTTATGCTGGTCAAACTGCTTGGGTAACGACATAAGCAAAACAATGGTTTGGTATTCATCTGACCTTGACGTTCTCCAGATCAGATATTAGCTTGAAGAAATCATTCACATTTTCTTTTATAGTCATGCCATAACTCATCTTATACCCATAAAGCCTTTGCTTTAAGTAAATACGATTTGGTAAAGATTTATCCATGAATAATTTATTTACCATCTTGATCATACATGAAGCTGTTTTCAGATTTATCATCTTTCTTAGAATGTGGTCTCCAAGGCTCAATATCATTGTGTATCTGACCTTTCCTTTTTTTTCTCCTTGAGGCTTTTAGATACTGGTGGTTTTGGAGGAGTTACTGTTCCCGGTGTCCAGTCTGTTTCTGCAGTAGAAACTTCTGCAACTTCTTCTTCTTCTTCTTCATCTAGCCCCTCCAACAAACCCAGCAGCTCCATTCGAGAGCATATAGTCGCCTTCTCTATCAAACTTCTCCACTCCTGAACACCCAAAAGCCATGATTAGTTGGAACGTTTAAAGCTTTGTCACCAAAAACTTCAAACTTCAACTTTATCTACAAAGCTTTGACTTTTACAAAGTTTGAAGCAGCTTTATCACCAAAGTTTCAGCCTTTATAAAGATATGACCTTTTTTAACTTGAAACTCCAAACCTGGAGCCCTGATACCAATTGTTGAGATAAAAGCTTGTTCTTTTAACTTGTTTATGCGGAAATTTCTCAATATCTCTCTATGTTTGACCACTCGTATGTTTAAGACTTGGAAATGTAAAAGACACACAGATTTAACCAGTTCACGATCCAAAACGGAATCACTACGCTTGGCTGAGACTATGTTCGAAAATCCACTAGAAAGCTTCTTGGTTACACACGCCCTTAAAGAACAAACTGTAAACTCACAGCAGCCTCTCTTGCAGTCTCTCTTACCTAATATTTCAGCTAACACCTCCTTATATACAACTCTCTGTGCCACACTCCTCTCTCTCCTTCAATTCGTACTTTGTTTAATTACAGAGGAAGAAGACAAACAATGGCAATACTTTTGACTGAGGTTAATTACGTCTCATGCCCTTGCGAGTTGCAACACCAAAGACACATGAACTCCTTGTGCTTTCTTTCTCCTTTTTTTTCAGCTGAAACCTTCTTCTTAGGCTAGAGACTTCATGACATTTAGACAATACTTCACAAGAACGTTAGCAAGAAGGAATTATAATGAACACAATCCTATGTTTTTCTTATAACAACACAAAATGATAGTTTGTTTTGCGATCCATTCTTGTGCTAATCGATGTGTTTTTTTATTTAACACTTTTGATCTACGTTTCGAATGATTACAATATATAAGATCTGATAGATAAAATTAAAAGAGAAACCAATGATTTTTCCCAACATAAAGAGTGATTTCTTTAATAATACATTGGTGATACCAAAATAATTTTTTTTTGAGTTTTGAAAAGGTCAATGAAAGACTTCCGGTGTTAATAATAGCTGACAGACTTCTTATACTTTTAACGATAACATGACAATAATTCTTACAATGGCTATCCTATAATTGTATTCTTTAAATTTAATTTCAGAAGATTTAGTTTTAATGTAACCGACTATAAACACCGTTGAAACAAATTTTAACTTTCTGATTAGATCAGTAAAGCAGAGTTGAGGAACGGATGATCCAAACAAGGTAGCACTGAATCTCTAAAGAAAACAGTGAAAACCAAAATAGAAGTCGTTAGAAACCACATCTAGGACGAGAAGTGAAAAAACCAAAAATATTTACATCAAACTGAACCGAAAATCAAAGAAATCTGGTAACACAACCACATTTCTGCCTATATCCAACAAGATCTATATATCTAAAACTCTAAAAATCAAATTCGTTAAAGAAACATAAAACTAATAACTTAACAACAAAAAGAAAATAAAATAAAACAAACAGAAACCCATCGAATTCTAAATAATTTTTAAAATTAATTTTGGATGAATCTATCAAATAATAAATCTCGAGTGAATCAAATAATTTTTTTTTAATCCATTTTAATGTACTTACTATCACAAAGAAACTTGTAAATTGTTCTCTTATTATTTTTTGGGTTTAACATTAATATAAATAAATTTTACAGGTCTTTTATTTTATTTTTTTGTTGGATAGAAATAGAGAATGCAATTAGTATCAATTACAGGTCTTTTTACCTTTTTGTGTTGTACAGAAACAGAAAATGCAAAAACTACTTTCACAAAAAGATTTTGTAGATAAAATTAGTTCCAATCCGACGGCTACAATAGCATCCACCAAATCCAACGGAGTACACTAATATGGAAACGTCCTTTAGATCTGACAGTATTTAGTATTTACTGAATCCCATGAGAAGCACCGTCCAGTTACGTTATGTCACGTGTAAAGTCTTACTCTTATTCGACTCAAAATTTCGTAGTTTTATCCAGTTAGCTTCTGCCACGTCATTTCCATGACAACTAGATCTGATGTGTATATCATTAATTGGTCAACGTGGATGTAGAGTTGCAACGTCAGCAAGCCACGAGAGCGTTCACTTCACTTGCAGCTTCTGTGGATATATATATAATTCTAGCACTTCTATAGGCTTATAGCATCTTCTGATTTCGGGGAAGCTCCGATCTGAGTTTTTAGCAATGGCGAAACTAAACCCTAACTTCATCTCTCTGATTCTTGTCGGTCTCTTCGCGATCGCCTCTGCTGAAGTTATCTTCGAGGAACGATTCGATGGTAGCTACATTTTTCTCTCTATCTCTATTAGTCGATGCTTTTTATGATTCCGTTTGCGATCTCTGCGTCTATTCATTTCGATAAAGATGAGGCTGTAGCGTGTTGATCCATTTTAGTTCATCACTGATATCCTCGTTTTCAAATCGATTGAATTTTTTTCGAAATGTTTGGTGGCGGTTGTTGGTAGATCTAATGAAGTTGTGGATTCTGGTTTTACTTAGATTCGTTGATTTCAAAATTCTGATCGGTGATCACGGGAATACGGATTTGGATGATAGTAAACGTTGAGATGATAGTATGCGATTGATTACGTGCTCGAAACTAGTATGATAATTGATCTATTCGCGATAATGTGTTACGCTTACATTGAAATTGTCATTGGTGATCAACTCCTTTGAATTCGTATCGTATGCAGTCGTATTTGTGAGGACTTTTGATTTAGGAATTGACTGAGGATTGCGTTCCCGATCTCAGTTTCTTGTTTGAACTCTTATTATATCTCTGTTTCTTTGTTATCTCTGTTTCTATAGATGGATGGGAGAACAGATGGGTAAAATCTGACTGGAAGAAAGATGATAACACTGCTGGAGAGTGGAGCCACACAGCCGGAAACTGGTCTGGTGACGCTAACGACAAAGGTATTCATCAGTACTAGTGATGATGATTCATTGATTCTCGATATTTTCTTATGCTCATGTTATGCTTTGGTGCAATGATCACTCTATTTCAGGTATCCAGACTAGCGAGGACTACAGATTCTACGCCATATCAGCTGAGTTCCCCGAGTTCAGCAACAAGGACAAGACTCTAGTATTCCAATTCTCCGTCAAGCACGAGCAGAAGCTTGACTGTGGTGGTGGATACATGAAGCTTCTTAGTGATGATGTTGACCAGAATAAATTCGGAGGAGACACTCCTTACAGGTGCGTTTTCTGTTCCGTATGTCACTTTCTTTTCACAATCTCTATATCAACATCAAGCTTATCTTCTTTTTTTACACGCAGCATCATGTTTGGCCCAGATATCTGTGGCTACAGCACTAAGAAAGTGCATGCTATTCTTACTTACAATGGAACAAACCATCTGATCAAGAAGGAAGTGCCATGTGAGACTGATCAGCTCACCCATGTGTACACATTCATCCTCCGCCCAGATGCTACTTACAGTATTCTTATTGACAATGTTGAGAAGCAAACTGGTAGCCTCTACTCTGACTGGGATCTCCTCCCAGCAAAGAAGATCAAGGATCCAAGCGCCAAGAAGGTAACTAGTATCTTGCAACTCTATCTCTCCTATGTGTAATCTATAATACATGTTCTTATAAAACCGAGTCTCTGTTTTACAGCCAGAGGACTGGGACGACAAAGAGTACATTCCTGATCCGGAAGACACAAAGCCAGCAGGATACGATGACATCCCAAAGGAGATCCCAGACACTGATGCAACTAAGGTTTTTATAACCTTTTCTTGCACTGATGTAAAAGTAAAACCAATCTAAAATCACGTTCTGGTTTAAATATGGATACTTTGTTTTTTTAGCCTGAGGACTGGGATGAAGAAGAAGATGGTGAGTGGACTACTTCTACCATCCCCAACCCTGATTACAACGGTGAATGGAAACCAAAGGTATGTTAGTTTTTTTCTGTCGAAACAGAGTATTTATTAGGCAAAACTATGTTTACTTTTCTTCTCACGAGTTATCACATAATCTTCTGTAGAAAATCAAGAACCCTAACTACAAGGGAAAATGGAAGGCTCCAATGATTGACAACCCTGGTAATATTCTCTCTGCATCAATTTATATTCATAATGTCCATTGTATTCATGACTCTTGATACCTTTAGTAATGAGTTGCAATCTCACACTATCTTGATACCTTTAGTAATCCATATTAATATTTAATTGAAGACACATTTTGAGATTCTGCTAGTTATCGAACTAGTCTTAACTCCTAAGTATATTAATTTCACTCAGAGTTCAAGGATGACCCAGAGCTCTATGTCTTCCCCAAATTGAAGTATGTTGGAGTTGAATTGTGGCAGGTAATAAATAATAATAATATCTCGTCATAGAAACGTTTTTGTCTTTCAATCATATACATATATGCTAGCGACTAAACACATATCCTGTGTTTCATAGGTGAAATCTGGATCCTTGTTCGACAATGTCTTGGTCTGCGATGACCCAGAGTACGCTAAGAAGTTGGCCGAGGAAACCTGGGGAAAGCACAAGGATGTATGTTGTTTTAATCTTTGCTCTTTGTGATTAACTTTGGTTTACGTTGTTATAATGGTCGTCACTAATCCAAATCTTGTGTTACAGGCGGAGAAAGCAGCATTCGACGAAGCTGAGAAGAAGAGAGAGGAAGAGGTAAACTTCCTCCACCCAAAGTTATCTTCCTCTGATACATAATAACATGAGAGTAATCAACAACTTTTATGTTTCTTTGTTTTAACAGGAATCAAAGGACGCTCCTGCTGCTGACTCCGACGTAAGAATCTCACAATGGTTATCTCTGATATTAACATTTAACCTCTCCGTTTTATGTCTCTGATATGTAAATTTGATTTACAGGCTGAGGATGGAGCAGAGGATGATGATCATGAAGGAGATGACTCTGACACCGAATCAAAGTCTGAGGAAACCAAGGAAACAACCTCAGACAACGATGATGAGCCAGCTCATGTATGTGTTTAGAATTAAAACAACAACTATAATGGAAGTGTTATTGTTAGCTGTATGATTAACTTTACGATTGTGAATTTTACTACAGGACGAGCTCTAAGCGAAGAAGGTGGGAGATTAAAGGATCCAAAAAGTTTTCAGTCTCATTTTTTATAAACTTTTTTTAGCTCTAGTTTGTTTGGGATGTTAGAATTTTTTGTAGCTACCAGAAACAAAATATGGTGAAATGGGTGTGGCAGCTTGTTTTAGACTTTTGATAAATTCCTGACATTCTGATTCTCTCTTCTCTCTCGTCTTACTGATAAATTTGGTTGAGAGAGTTCTCAGTTCTATCTCTGCGATTGCTCCTCTTTTCGACAGATTTATTGTTCCCTAGATAAATCTTACTCTGAATCTTTCTCCTTTCGCGAAACTTTGCAGCAGTTAAATACCCCAATACTAGTAGTTTCATGGACAAAAGCTATTTGGTTCAAACATGTCTCGCAATTCTCATTTATTGTTTGGTTCCACCCAACACGAGACGTATCAGATGAATCATACTGTTTATTTTTCGATTGTGAAATTTGGCTTTCTACATGCAGATTGGACTAGTTTCCACTAACACGTATTTAGATAGCAACATAATGGGTTCTTTACTTCTTCCACTATACCCCATTGCCAAGGGAAGGACAATATTAAACTTCTACTTCGAACAATCTCAAAATGTGCTCCTCCCTTTTCTAGCAAAGAGTCCAATGGACTGGTCAATTTTGTTGAAATCCCATCTAAACGCTTACTTTTTGTCTCCATAATTAAGTTCCCTCTGGAGTTAAAATTTGTTGTCCGATATTTTGAAAAGTCAAGATTATACTCACTATTATTTTTTTTCGGTATTTTGTCTTCATAATATTAGAAATTATTTTTCTAAGGTCATCCAACATAATACTATTTCAATTCAAATAAGTTTAATTTGGAGTTCTATCATAACAAGTAACTAAAAAGATAAATATATTTTAGTGACATAGATATAAACTAGTTTTTAAAAGCTTCTCTACATATACATTTATATTCTTGAAATCAGAGTGTTATAATCATCCCCATTCACAGAGCGCAACGTCCTCGTTGCACACCAGACCCATCACCCTTGATGATGTGATTTCTCGTGACTCAACACTCGCCTGGATTCGGTTTTAATACCATTTGTAACATCTCGACTGCTCTTACTAGTGCCCCCCACGTTCTCAGCCAATGGGCCCCACTCTTGTCTAATGGCCTATGCATTAGCTGAGAAGTTCAAAAATCATGATATCTGCAATCACCACAATGAGATTTACCTGTGTTTTGTGTTCACTCACTTCCTGATAGGTCACCAAGTTTTGTGCTCACTCACATCTTGATAGGTCACCAATCCTAGTGCTACTCCAGATCAAACACGTTTAACTTTGGAGTTCTGTCAGGACCAATGATCGAAACGATAAACACACTTTGGTGATATAGATAATTATATCAATTATTTTAAGCTTCTCCACATATACATTCATATTCCTGAAATTGGAGTGTTACAGTGTAAGAACAAGAATATGAGCACTCAACAAAATTACGAGATTCAGCAACGTACTTATGTATTCAAAGTATCCACTAGATATTATTTAGAAAATCTTACAACAACATTTTTTTTTAATAAATTTCTTGACTCTAAAACATCCATTAGTTCAACACCAATTAATCTTTATGGAAAAGTGACATCTCTATTATTTATACCATCTTAGCATGCATTCACTACTAGTTTTAGTCTTTTAACATGCATATTTTGCTCTTCTTGTCCCATTTACATACATTTAGGAGTTAGTATAGTTTTAGGAGTTGCATTGCATTTTGATTGCATCTGGAGTTTTATTCAGGTACTAGAAGGAGTTTGGAGACCAAGTGGTGCAATGGATGTGAGCTGGGAATGAAGCAAGGAGAAGGACAAGGTCGGATGGACCAATATCGAGCAGGATATCGATGTGATCTGATTGATACGGAACGTATCAGACTGGATATCGATGACTTCATGTCGATACAGAAGGAGCAAGGCGTACAGAGCAACACATCGACCAAGAAAACCTCGATACACCAGAATGAGCTTGTACCGAGCAGTGTATCGAGCACTGAAGTCGATACACCAGAGACAGGGCAATATTGAAGAAGCATATCGGCGTGATTCTGCTCCATATGCCTTAGGAAAAAGGCGATTGTATCGATGTCTACACCGAGGAGAGTCAAGCCGATACACCCCTGAAGCCCAGTGTATCGACTACCGTATCGATCAAGATCATGTCGATACACCCAACAGAAGAGCCAATATCGATGTCTGTATCGATCAAATGAGCTGATATAGTCCAGCCGAGTCAGCCTCTCTATAAATACTAAAGTCCTAAAATGTTTAGGCAACTCATATCTTATTATTTTCTATAGTGTTCTAGCATTAAAAACTTTTCCTTTTTCAGCTTTTATTTGTAAGACCTTGTTTGATGTAGTGAATTTATGTGTTTGCCTTTATCTATTCTTGTTTAATCTGCTTTCTAATCATGATTAGCCATTATTTCTCTTTGGAATCTGTGGTTTTGATCATGACTAGTGAGTAGTCTTATTTAGGGTTTGAGATGAGATAGATTAGAGGGGTTTTAGTATCAAATTAGTGATGATTTATGCTTAATATGATTTTTTTCTCTCTATTAGATGTGCTTAACACTAGATTTGTCTTGGCCAAGCTTGTTTAGTATCTTGGCTTTCTCTTATGCCTGATAAGTGTTTGATGAAATGCTGCAATGAATCTTTTAGATCATTTGTTCATCTTAGCCTAAGGGATTAGATGTCTAAGGAACATTTTAGCTTTATAGAATTGGATTTCTGCTTGAATGCTTGCTATTCATCTGTTCAGTAATGGAACTTGTCTAGAACATGTGTTTAGCAAAGTGATTAGTACTAAGGAATTAGACTAGTTATAGCTGTTAATCATATGCTTAGAAGATAGCATTGTTTGAATGGTTTTGAAGCATCACTAGTTTGGTCTTAATCCCCTCTTAGTCAATAACCCCCATCTTAGATCCTTGCTTTAATCTATTTGAATATAATATTTCGAACTTGCTCTGCTTAGTCTTTTTTACTTCAATCATTAGTCTTTGATCACACTTGTTATCTTGATATTAGCTTAACTTGAGTGAACTGCTGCATTCTTAGTGACTTACATGCCCAGATGGATTGATACCTTACATGCTGCAATGACATGAGTGTGTTTGGATTTGAATAAGAGAAACAATCTGTTATCAAATTGGCGCCGTTGCCATATGAGCTTGATCTAAGCATTTGGATTTGTAGACTGCTTGAGATTAGGCTGTTATTTTCAGTTCAGTTACTAATTTGCAAGCTTGCTCTTTCTCTTATAGGTGTATGAACTTGAGGTCTAGAGTCAATCAAAACCTGCTGGATTATTAACACAACATTCTGCAAGTGGAGAGAGCATTGAGAGCAAACAGAAAAAGGGAGAGACTGCAAAGGTTCCATCAGCTCAACATGGAGCATGGTATATATTTTCACCAGGAGCACAGGGTGTTCAGGGAGTTGCTGGTGTCCAGGGACAACAAGGAGTCCAAGGTGAGCAAGGTCAGGAGGACCAGCACATGCTGTACGCCCTGTGAGGCCCATTGGTGCTGGTGATGCTCCTAATGCCTATAACAACAGGACATGTATCATCCCTCCACCAGTGCAGAACAACAATTTCGAAATCAAGTTTGGTTTGATCTCTATGGTTCACAACAGCAAGTTCCATGGCTTTCCTTTGGAGGATCTCTTGGACCATCTAGATAACTTTGACAGATTGTGCTCACTCACCAAGATAAATGGTGTTAGCGAAGATAGCTTCAAACTCAGGCTGTTCCTATTTTTCCTAGGAGACAAGGCACATCAGTGGAAAAAGAACTTGCCTCAAGGCAGTAACACCAACTGGGACCAGTGTAAAAAGGCATTCCTGGCAAAGTTCTTTAGCGCATCTAGGACTGCAAGGATAAGGAATGAAATTTTAGGGTTCTCCCAAAGAAGCAATGAGTCTTTTGGTGAAGCATGGGAGAGGTTCAAGGGCTATACACTTCAATGCTCACATTATGGCTTCTCAACTGAATCCTTGCTGTCTACACTGTACAGGGGTACTCTCCCCAAGATCAGGATGCTCCTTGACACAACTAGTAATGGGAACTTTCTCTCTAAAGATGTGGATGAAGGTCTTGAGCTTGTTGAAAACTTGGCTCAAAGTGATGGGAATTACAATGAAGATTTTGACAGGACTCAAAGAGGAGATGAAGGGAACACAAAAAAGGAGTTAGAGTCCACAAGAAGAGAGCTAAAGGAGCTGAACTATAGGCTTGACAAGCTGCTTCAAGTACAGCATAAGGAGCTGAACTTTGTTGGTGAAATGGTTGAGATGCCAAGTGAGGAAGAGCTACAAGTGGAAGAGATGAACTATGTGGGAAATCAGGGAGGCTACAAAAAAAAACTATGGCAACTACAGGCCTAACCCCAACCTCTCTTACACAAACAACAATGTTGCTAATCCCCAAGATCAGGTTTACCCTCCACAACAGTCTCAAGGGAACTAGCAAAGACCTTTTGCGCCATTTAACCAAGGCTATGCTCCAATGAATAACTTCCAAGGAAACTTCCAGCCAAAGCAGTTTGCACCTCCTGGTTTTTCACAAGGCCAAGCCAGCCCCTCTAACAACAATGATGCTGAGATGAAGAGAATGCTGCAACAACTCCTTCAAGGCCAACAAGCTACAAATGTGAAGATCACAAAGAAGTTTGTTGAGGTTTACAACAGAATGGACTCTTTCCATGTGGAGCTCTCTAACAAGATTGATGGGTTGACTTCAAAAATGAAGACCCTTGAGAATAACAAAGGCATTGCTGGCCCTAAACCTCAATGAAAACTTTCTGGAAAATCAGAAGCTAATCCTAAGGAGTTCTGCAATGCTATAGCTACTGAAGAAGAGACTCTCTTAGCTGAAGAAGAAACCATCATAGAAGACATCCTTTCATTGCTGAATGAGAACATTGAACTTCAGAGTGGGGGAGAGGAGTTTCTAGCAGCTAATGCCAACCAAGAGAGGATGCAAAGGAAGACTCTCTTGAAAAAGAAGCCACCAAGGAAGAGGAGAAGAGTGAGCCACTTGTGACTGTTGGGGCAGAGAAGGAAACTGAAGCTTATGATCTTTCTCCTTACAAGCCAGCTCTTCCTTTTCCTGGCAGGTTTAAGAAACAACTTGTGGATAAGTATACCAATCTCTATGCTAATCATATGAAGCTCAGAGGTTTTGATGTTGGGAATGAGCTGAAAGAAGCCATAGCCAACACTGAGGTATTGGACATAAAGAAGCTTGGTGATCCTGGATGTTTCACTCTCCCTTGTGAACTAAAAGGGAAGATGTTCAGGAGTTGTCTTTGTGACTTAGGTGCAAGCATCAACTTGCTGTCCTCCTCTACAGCTAAGGCGCTTGGCTACACTTC